ATACCAGTAAGTGGCGGTAATGCTACTAACAGTTTGTTGCCAACCGCCATAAAACTCGACAAGAAGAAGAAGAAGAAGAAGGAACAAACACACACAGGGCTACAGAGGATAACAGAAAAACGTGAGAACTAACAAATCTAGAAAATACAACAAAAGGAATTAAACTAATAAACTAGGAAACATAGAACAAAGTAAAGCACAATATAACCAAAACCATGACAAAAGCTGTGGCAGGATAAGGTGAGCAAACAGCAGGGATAATCACAGCCTTCAGAGGATAGTCAAGCATTTTCATAAGGCCCGGAATAAGAAAAAAAAACTGCTGTTAAATTCCTTCATGACTGTATTGATGCAGTAATTTAAGCAAAGGGAGACCAAAATGAGTATGTAGTAAATATAAACAACTAAATACACAGAGATTCTGAACAGGATGTAATTTCTGTTTAAAAATGTACTTCTGATGTGATTTTTTTTCTCATTTTCCTTTAAGTTGTTGTCACAACAAGCTATGTGTGTAATAAATCTGGATTAAATCTAAATCAGGATTAATCAGTGAATTCCCTTTTTAAAGTAACCCATACGGTTTTTCATTGATATATTCTTATTCACTGAGACAGCCTTGGTGTGGATCTAATGGTTTGACCGGTGTGGTCTCCAGGTCGCCGGGTGTGCATGGGCGAGCAGCTGGCTAAGATGGAGCTCTTCCTGACCGTCACCGGTCTGCTGCAGGCCTTCCGGTTCCGGCTCCCAGACGGGGAAGCTGCTCCGTCTCTTCAGGGGCGGTTCGGCCTGACGCTGGCTCCCTGTCCCTTCGCCGTGTGTGTGACCGCTCGGGGGGAAGATGGTTTCAGCTAGAAGGTCTGCTGGGACGTTTAAGGACCTCTAAGAAGACTCAACTCAGGATTTCCTGCATTCATCAATAACATCAATTTATTATTTGTTCATTTCAGGAATTTTAGATTAGTCAAAATATATTTGACTATAAAGATTTAGTTATATCTCAGTAGTATTAATCTATTTATTTAATTTTAAAAGGTACTTTTATCTGTTAATACTGTTTTTTTTTTTATTAACAGCGATTCTATTACATATGAGATAAAACTTTAAATTTTCTTTATCCAGATTTTCTGTTATCCTTCCTGTATATTTAATTTTGGAGAAAAGCTTTTATTTTCTGCTCTGTAGTGCAATACTGTATAGATTTTGATAACTGGAAGTGCAAATACTATTTTCATTTTTTTTATCAGGGTAAAAAATTGTTCACCTTTCCTTTTAGAATATTCTGGATGCAGCTTTGTAACAGGAAATTAGTAAAAGTGCAATTTGTTACTGATGCTAAAGTGTTGGTATAAATAGAAGAGTGTTATTTTCTGAAACCAGCCAATGGGAAATGAAATAAATGATCTAAATGCAATTCAAATAAAAGTCATGTTTGGAAATTATTTATTCGAGTTTGCATTATTTACGTACAAAAGTTACCTACCGTGGAACACCCCAATGTGTAGTTTATATTTTCACCAGCAGAGGTCGGTGTTTCGCTTTGTTTTAAGTCTGAAAAAGTTTTAAAAACTGAAAAACGTCCTTCAGTTGCTGAGCAGTCAATCGTGTAAAAGTAGAAAATCTGATTTAAACTAATCTGAGGTCTGTATTAGATCACGTGGGGGTGAAAAAAGGAAATTGAAGATGTTAAGATATTCCAGTTTCCAGGGCATTTGTTGGCTACAATATTTTTTAAATCATTTTACATTGATATGACATTATCTATAATTTGTCACATTACAACTCTTAATACTAGCTAAAAAAAAAAAGGTTTTTTGGTGCCAATGTCAATAAAGCCACAGATTTAATTAGACAAAAAAAAAATAAAATAAAATAAGATAACAATAAGGTTAATACCTTTATCTCCCTTTTAAATATGTTTAAATGAACTTGGTGGTTCTTTTTTAGCTCCAGCAGGCTTAGATTCAAAGAGCATCAAAATCCTGATTGTTTCTTTGTTTTTTTACATACAAAATAAAGATATCAGAGATCACAAACCACATTACGTAAAATATTCTGGTTCAAATTCAAAGTTTCATTTCATAAAATTGCAAAACAGAAAGAAAAAAGGTTTATACCAGCACAACAGGTCGATGCTAAGTCAGAAGCTAATTTTAGCATTGATTAAAAAAACACAATCAATAATAAAGATAAATTATGTAATTCTTGTTTCCAAATTGCCAAAAAATGGAAAACTGTAAAGTGTAGACTTTAGAAATAGAACATTTTAAATGAAACCTGCTCTTGTCAAGGAATCAATTAACATGACTGTCAGCTGAAATTCAATTCAGTTTATTTCTATAGCAACAATTCACAACACATGTCGTCTCAAGGCACTTTACAGTTCAACCAGATCATCCAGTCAAACTGATTCAAAGTTTTCCTTCTAAGGAAGGTACCCCCTCACACTAAGCATGCTTGTAGCGACAGTGGAGAGGAAAAACTCCCTTCTAACAGGAAGAAATCTCCCCCAGAACCAGGCTCAGTGTGAGCGGCCATCTGCTGAGGCCGACTGAGATTTAAGGAGACAAAGGCAGAGATACAAAAAGCAGCTGTAAAAGGCGGCACCGTCCATGAAACACACAGTCAGGCAGACGAGCTCCCATGTCAGAGGATGAAGAGAGCACATCCAGCCAGTCACAGTCAGAGAAACAGGACTACACTGAAAAACAGGCCGATCTCCAACATCTATAAACAAGGGTGTTGATAATCTCTTAGTTAATGTGTGCTTAAAAAAGCCTTCCCCTAATGATGTCATGAGGGGAAATAAGCTGCCCCGAGCGTTCTGTAGCCTTTATCTAACATATTGTTCCAGGCTCCTTGTCTATCTTTACCAACTCTGACTGGTTGTCATGGTTACGGGTTGTTTGGGCGGGGCTCTTTGGAGGATGAAAGCCAAAACAGCTCATCCAGAGGAGGTCTGAATAAGCTAGTGATGGGAAAATGATTCAACACATTACCAAACTGCTACTGGATTTAGTGTCTCACTGAATACTGCCACCTGCTGGACCTGGAAGTCACAGTCAGAGAAAAAGAACTACTCTGGAAAACAGGCTGAAATAATCTCTGAACCTTTTCTCAAATGTAGAGAATTTATGCCATTATTTAAAAAAACAAACAAATATGACTTATAAGCTTATAATTCAGTCTGATTAAAGAACTTGTGAGTTTTACAACAATAAGCACCACAGGAAAATAATTAACTGTTGCTTGATTTTAAAACCTTACGGTGCATACATGTATCCTTTATATTTATTTAATTTACCCACAAGTCAATATAAGAACAGAAGTGATTCTTCTGCATAGGAGCTTCTATTGAGGGAAGTTTGTTTTTCATCTTGAAAACAGACAGATAAACATAAATCTAGTTCTATTTTTTCTGACATCTGATAAAACTCACATTTAGATGTGACTATCTGATAAGGCAGAAGTACAGAGGACTGCTGCTCTGACACATGAGGTCACCTCATGACTTTACCTCTTATAACAAAAAAATTACAATATTCTGTAAAAAACGATCTAATATAATCAATATGGTCAAAGTCAAAATAAATACCTTAAACTAATCAACAATATTGATCTATTTGAATTCCTTACACTTAGGTTAAACTTTGAAACTAATGTTTGAGCATTTTGTGACTCAAATAAGGAAACCACAAATCACATATTTCATGGAATATTTAATGTTCTTTGAAATTTTGGAATCAACTGTAAGAAAAGTTTGGTCAAAAAGATGTTTCTTTTCATGGTTTATTTCAGGCAAATAGTTTATATGGCATCGTATCCTACTGGATAAGAACATAAGCAGGAATTTAGTTTTCATAATGATAAAAAAGGCCTTAATTTCTAAAGTACCATCTTGTTTTTAAAATCACTGTCTTAAAAAATAACCTTTGAAATTGAAATAGACATAAAAATGCTGAATTACAAAAAATGAATTGTAAAAATATTTAGTAATTTGTAAAACACAAAGAACTTCCTTTTTGAAATTTGTAATAAATGAGGAATATTCAAAAATAATAAACATAACAGTAATTAAGGAAATAAACTGAATGCTAAACTTATTAGTGAGAAAATGAAAAACAGGTCTAAAGGCCAGCAGAATAAAATCAGTTCTCATTAGCACTATGCATCAAAATTATATAAAGTTTAAAAACCTCTGAAATGAACTTTAGATCTTTTATTAAAACAAACAGTGTGAGATCCAGGTTATTAAGTCTTAAAATTGATGTTTGTAACTATCTCTCCTACAAGGTTTTAAAGTTTGTATCTCTGCATTTGATCTATTTGTTTTACAGAGTCTCTGTATATTACAGAAGAGGATAATGGCCACTGAGAAAAAAAAAATGTTAACTGATTAAATATTATTTTAGTTTTATATGGGAAAAAAGTCAGAATTCTGACTTTAATCTCAGAATGGTTGATTTTAATGTAGATGGGCACCATGAAGCTAGAGATGTGGGAGCACTCAGCTTCACTGACAAAGATGTGAGCTGTTTGGGAGGAACACTAACACATTGGTGGAAAATTATGGAATTAGGTGAATTGATGCTATTTCATTAATGGAAGAGCAAAATGTGATTAAAACAAGAGAACTAGTTTAGTCTCTAAAACAGACATGGCTACGGCTTGATGTCAACATGTTTGTTGGCTGTCAGAATTATGTTAGAATGCCAAGATTAAAGTCAAAATCCTGTGATCAAAGTCTGAATTCTGTGATTAAAGTCAAATTTCTGACTTTTTCTTATATCACACTGAAATAAAATTTAAAAATCAGTTAACTTACCATTGCATCTTTGACTGCCCCCTCATTAAAATTGTCTGCATATGTCAAAAATTCAAATATGTCAGAAATCTCTTAACATACTTAAGACATTTCTGACATATTTGGTAAGGATCTGGACCTAATCCCACTGTCTTGTGTTCTTGGTTTGCATCCTTCACTGAACTTAAATTCTTAGAAGTGGAGACTGCTAGATGTTGTTCTATTTAATGCCAAACGGTGTGTTCTTCTTCAACGGATCTCTGACAAACCTCCTATGCTTTCACAGTGGTTGCAGAGTGGGAAGGAACTAATTCCCTTGGAGGCAATGACTCACTAGCTTAAGGACAAACCTCTGTTATTCCACAAAACATGGGATCCATTCATAGATTACATCGGCATAGAGAGTGCACAGACTATACAGAAGAGACTCTATGGACCTGGAGGGAACCATACTTGAGTGTGTATTCAACCAATACCCTTTTAATTGATTAATTAATCTGAGCTTTAATGTTGTTACTGTATATGTTTTCGTGTTTTTTTTTTGTTTGTTTTGTATTTTCTGTACTATCTGTACTCTATATTATTCTTTTTTGAACACATTGTTACAGGTTTTCCTGACTTAGTTTTATTAATTGACTTACTTATTTTTATTTATTTCATTTTTCCAGTCTTTCACTGTGTTTTTTTGGTTTTTTTTGCCTGAATAAGTTGAAAAACGTAATAAAGATATGTTTTTTTTTTTTAAATCAGTTAATCTATTTTATTTTTCAGTGGCCCTAATCCTCTTCCATAGTATTTAACTGAGAGAGATAAATGTATAAACTCTCTCTGGGGTTTTTGTAGGGTTTATAGAAACTGTCCACTAGGTGGCGGTAGTGATGTTTGGAGTTGGTTCCTCCGCTGAATATCTAACCTTCGCAGGTGAAGAAAAAGTCTGCAGGCGACCCTTCACCTAGTTCGGCTTCTTTCTCCGGTTCTGCTCATTTGAAGCTCTGCTGTTTTTGGAGATCTTTTGCTCCAACATGTCTTTTTTCAGCCACCAAATCAGGAGAAGCTTCTCTTCCTCTGCTGTCAGGAGAGTTGTTATTAAAAACGTGACGAT